TTAGGCCGTCTTTCATAAGACTTTGACATATTCATGAGCCACTTGTTAACTACTAAAGAAAATGATCGACTGATCGGTTCATCCAGGTTCATTAATGCTTTCGCTGAGTACAACTTACTGAACTGCTTGTTCTAATTTTATGGTTTAGTCTTTAAAGAGGATTCACCTGAATTAACTAAGTGTTCAAGTATTGAATTGTCTGTAAATTTATGCTGAACTTTTGATAGCTACGCAAGGAGATGCGTATATTCACTTTTACTCACAAGTTGCATCAAAATTCGCTTTTGAAGTTTTTAAGGTAGTATTCATCATGAACTGACACCAGTTAAGGAACTGCTGAACACCCGGGGGTACTGGACTATCGCTTCGTCTTAGTATGGGACTCCTCAGCAGGATGAACCAGTTGTTCAGTTCTTCCAGGTATTCAGTAGTTCCCCAATTGATTTCAGTCCATGATGAATACCACCTTAAAAATAAAATCCACATTAAGCTCTAATCTATGAGAATTATTTACGAAGTTAGATGAAATTACTTAACAGGAGTACGGTTTCATAATCGCTACATAGGCTGGTGCCTCCCTTAGTTATCCAGTGATTCAAAGTCAAACTACGTGTGTTTGTGTGTGCCTGTTAAATAAGTAAAACTTCTGTTTATTTCATGTCTTTTCATCAGGAAGGAAACAACCTGAATTTACGCGTTCTCACTATTAGTTACAGTGCATATTTTGGGACGAAGTTTTGATTAAAATTTAAGTCTAACAGTAAACTGGTGACTCAAAGAAACCCAGAGAAAAGAGGATTCTGAATCACTTTGATACAGAAAATCAGACAGAAAAATTCCCAAGATACAAAAGAAACAGGATGTAAGTCGGAGAAAAGCGTTTTCTTCTAATTTGTTTACTTAGGGATTACATAGGAAATAGGGGTAATAGAAAAGTATGTATGTAAATCAATAAGACTTCCTTATGAATTCAAAATTCTTCCTGTCTATTGAAATCACATGGGAATATGCTTAATTGCAGTAACTTGAGAAAACTGATCAGGTTCTGCTTTGTGTATTGTGCTAAAAGCTTTGACGATAGTCTGTCTGTTCGCTATCATGTGTCGTTTAGATATCTGCCGACTGCACTAGTGAAAAGCTTATCTTTTTTCATCACTAACCTACTGAAATATGTCCATAAAATTGAACGGATATAGATATATATATCTTCTGATTTTGTCTTTTATTTGTTCTTGCATAAGTGCGTACATGTCAGCCAGCCAGCCAGCCAGCCAGCCAGCCAGCCAGCCAGCCAGCCAGCCAGCCAGCCAGCCAGCCAGCCAGCCAGCCAGCCAGCCAGCCAGCCAGCCAGCCAGCCAGCCAGCCAGCCAGCCAGCCAGCCAGCCAGCCAGCCAGCCAGCCAGCCAGCCAGCCAGCCAGCCAGCCAGCCAGCCAGCCAGCCAGCCAGCCAGCCAGCCAGCCAGCCAGCCAGCCAGCCAGCCAGTCAGCCAGCCAGCCAGTCAGCCAGCCAGCCAGCATCTATATTATTCGCTGAAAGCGATCATGATTCCGTAGTGCCTTTACACGCTTTACAGTCCGTGCAATAAAATGTACTAGACTCACTGTACACTTCATTCATGATAACTGATTTGAGGGCTGTGATAATTCCATGTCCTAATTTAGCATAGCTTATGTATCATAACCATGGATTAAAACTGGTCTTGCCAGAGTTTAGATAAGTCCATTATTTCCAAAAAACCAGCCCTAGTGTGTAAATATTTCATGTTTTTCCTATTTTATCGTAAAAACTACTATGCTTTTAGCATAGTGAAGATATTTACGCAACACTGAGACCCTTTTAGCATTCTCATTCCTTCTAAAACCATCACCGTCACTACTATACAATTTAGCAGGTGGTTGAAGAAAAAAAGTTATAAAAGTTGGCCTTGTGGCAAGGTGAGTGATCCTGTAGAATGAATTTAAGCCCTCACCACGAACTGGAAAACTCATCTTCATGAACACGCAACAGATCTTGATAAGCCCCATAATTCCATCATGCTACACGCTTATTTTTATTTTCCAACTAATTGGGATGTAAGGAAGCAGACAGCCAATGAGGGATCTCGGACTAGAGTCTCAGGTAGTACTGTAAGGTGTGATTCAGACTTCGACCATGATTGCTCTAATCTCACTTGGTTGCAGGTACATCCGACACTTGTCATATTTCTTGACCTGAAGGTGGCATTCGACTCTGTCAACCGTGTTGCGGCAGTGTCTGGCTGTGAAGGGAGTACCGAGTAAGTATATAAGGCTATTCAGAGCTTTCTGCTGGAACTCACACAGCGCTTATGGAGAGTTGTTGTGTGAGTTGACGACAACTACTGGTGTTCGCCATGGATATCCATTGTCATTATTTCTGTTTAACTTGCTCATAGGCTTACTAATGGACATAACCTTAGGTATGTCCGACTTCACAAGGACTGGTCTACTCCCTGAAAGTCATCTGGTTGGTTTGCAGTATGCAGATGATATTGTCCTGCTAGGTGAAGACAGTGAAAAACTTGCTGGGTCTTTTGAACGCATTCAGCAGAAATCTGAGTATTTTTGGCATGTGCTTTGCTATCACCTCTTAAATGTGAGATTATATTCCAGAACAGGTCTTCTGCAACCACTCTCAGTTTCATGATAGGGGAGTGAAGTTGTTGGATGTGTCGACCACTTCACTTGGAGAGTTGCATCCAACCAGATAGGTTGACTGCTGAGGAAATCTCAGCTCGAATACAGAAGGCTGGATTGGCATTTGCCAACTTACGTCATCTGTGGTGCCGACTCAGGAGATGTACGACTATCTACCAAAGGACCAGTATACTTCACTGCAGTGCATTCCGTTCTGTTCTGCGGCTATGAGACATGCCCACTGAAAGTAGAAGACATGAAGCGGTTACAAGGTTTTAACAACAGATGTCTTCGTAGCACTGCTCATCTTTGGTGAAATCACCATGCGAGCAATATTGAAGTCAGACGAAGGGTTCTACCTTGACGTTCCGTACTATAGGAAGTAGGATTAGTTTAGAAGTGGGTTCAGAGTGGCCAGATCAACACGTCCATGAAGTCTCTAACTGTTGGTTGAGGCCGTGTTGGGAGATGTCGACTACCTGGTTTGGGTTCCTGTGACGAAAGGAATCAGTGATTGAGGACTCTTGGGGACATGGTTGGAAATCGGTAACAATGGTGGAGCAGTATTCGCTCCTTGACATCTTCTCAAGCTTGAATACTGGAACTAACCTCTATCTTCGTATTATTTGTTCTCGAACACAACTTTGTTATCACTCATTTTCTATCCACCTGTTTTTTGTGTACTTATTTGAAGTGCGGCAGTTTGAGGTGATGCACTTGTGTGGGAAGTTCTACGTTGATTTTGTTAGTTAGTCAGTCACATTCAAATGATGAGTCCTAAGTAGGACAAAACGTACGTCCCTTATTCCAGTAAATCAACTATGAGATGATTATTCCAGGTTTACGGAGAATAAAAGTTACTCTGATTTCATTCATCTTATGCATATATTCTGAACAATTAAATTGATTTCAGAGTACGTGAAACGAATATTTCCGAACCAATAGTCAGTCATAAGGAAAATTTCTTTTTCAGTTTTAACTACGAAGCTGTTGATGATTACTGTTTAGCCGATACAGCTATATCACTTAGCGTAGAAACTCTCGCCAGACAAATCTATACGATGGAGCCATTTCGAACACTTTCTGAAGTGTATCTTTTGTATCTCAAAGCGAATCATTTATCTTTAAGTCATATTCATCACTTTGACTAGAAATTAATAGACTTCTAAACGATTTTAGTTGTTCTCCTGGGTTTACATTCCGATATGATACACAAATGTGGGAGTAGTATTGAAATTAGTCTGAATGGAAACAAGATATTCAAATGCTGTTAAATTTTAGGTGTCCATCTTACCCTACGACAGCTCATTCCCATTTGAGTCGGTTTAATAGATGTATCACACAATGAAACGGTATTATTTAATGGATTACGTTTCGGACACAGCCTAAGCTATTCATAATCATATCAAGATAATTGTACAACTTTGAGATAGAGTTTATATAGTTCTAATTTCTTAGCATCCTTTGTCATATAGGTAGTTGAATTTTCCACATATCCGGAACAGGTGCCAAGTCATTCCCGTCTCATGTGTTTGGTGCTGATTCGATAAAGAAAGATTCAGTTATCAATCTCTGCCTCCACCCCGCTATCTTAGTTTTAAGGATTTTAACCCTGTCCCATCCTATTGTGTGGTTGCGTGTAATTGGATGGATAGCTATGGCCGAATATTTTTCTAAATTCCTTATCTTACTAGGATCTATCAATTTGATCTCGCTTAAATTTTGTGCTCAGCCTAATTGATCCTGTTCGGCTACTTTGACTTATGTATTTGACCTCACGATCGTTACCCCCCTAAATCGATTAATAAGTTCCCCAGGAATGGTGGGGAAAATATGACTGATATTAGTAACACTGGTGTTAATAGTAGTAATAATTATGTTGATAATAATAGTGACCATACTATGAAGACAAGATTCAAAACGTCTACAGTATTACCATTCAAAGAAGCTACCTTAGAGACGACATTATGTAGGATTTTCGATAAGACTGGATAGGGTTCGAGTGGCATTTAGACCAACAAACACATTAAAGTTAGCTTTGTGGGTTAAAAGTTTCAACTGATCCAATTAGGGAAGGTTTATTAATATAAGAGTAAAACATTTTGTCTGTTTATTAGAAATGTCACACAGTGAAACAGTGGGATAGGGCGATAGCGTTATAAACTAAGACTAAACTAACACAAGACGGAAGCTTAAAGACTACTATCTATACGAAACCTTCCCATTCGAATCCCATCCCACTTCAGTTTAAATAGACTTGGTTAAATACCTAACTGATAAGTCGATAGACCAGAAAATCTAGGACAAGAAATCAGACACATCAGGAATACCCAGCATCTCGATATTTACCCACCTAAATTTATAAATAAATTCATAAGATTCCAAAGAAAAATAGTAGTAGTAGTAGTAGTAGTAGTAGTAGTAGTAGTAGTAGTAGTAGTAGTAGTAGTAGTAGTAGTAGTAGTAGTAGTAGTAGTAGTAGTAGTAGTAGTAGTAGTAGTAGTAGTAGTAGTAGTAGTAGTAGTAGTAGTAGTAGTAGTAGTAGTAGTAGTAGTAGTAGTAGTAGTAGTAGTAGTAGTAGTAGTAGTAGTAGTAGTAGTAGTAGTAGTAGTAGTAGTAGTAGTAGTAGTAGTAGTAGTAGTAGTAGTAGTAGTAGTAGTAGTAGTAGTAGTAGTAGTAGTAGTAGTAGTAGTAGTAGTAGTAGTAGTAGTAGTAGTAGTAGTAGTAGTAGTAGTAGTAGTAGTAGTAGTAGTAGTAGTAGTAGTAGTAGTAGTAGTAGTAGTAGTAGTAGTAGTAGTAGTAGTAGTAGTAGTAGTAGTAGTAGTAGTAGTAGTAGTAGTAGTAGTAGTAGTAGTAGTAGTAGTAGTAGTAGTAGTAGTAGTAGTAGTAGTAGTAGTAGTAGTAGTAGTAGTAGTAGTAGTAGTAGTAGTAGTAGTAGTAGTAGTAGTAGTAGTAGTAGTAGTAGTAGTAGTAGTAGTAGTAGTAGTAGTAGTAGTAGTAGTAGTAGTAGTAGTAGTAGTAGTAGTAGTAGTAGTAGTAGTAGTAGTAGTAGTAGTAGTAGTAGTAGTAGTAGTAGTAGTAGTAGTAGTAGTAGTAGTAGTAGTAGTAGTAGTAGTAGTAGTAGTAGTAGTAGTAGTAGTAGTAGTAGTAGTAGTAGTAGTAGTAGTAGTAGTAGTAGTAGTAGTAGTAGTAGTAGTAGTAGTAGTAGTAGTAGTAGTAGTAGTAGTAGTAGTAGTAGTAGTAGTAGTAGTAGTAGTAGTAGTAGTAGTAGTAGTAGTAGTAGTAGTAGTAGTAGTAGTAGTAGTAGTAGTAGTAGTAGTAGTAGTAGTAGTAGTAGTAGTAGTAGTAGTAGTAGTAGTAGTAGTAGTAGTAGTAGTAGTAGTAGTAGTAGTAGTAGTAGTAGTAGTAGTAGTAGTAGTAGTAGTAGTAGTAGTAGTAGTAGTAGTAGTAGTAGTAGTAGTAGTAGTAGTAGTAGTAGTAGTAGTAGTAGTAGTAGTAGTAGTAGTAGTAGTAGTAGTAGTAGTAGTAGTAGTAGTAGTAGTAGTAGTAGTAGTAGTAGTAGTAGTAGTAGTAGTAGTAGTAGTAGTAGTAGTAGTAGTAGTAGTAGTAGTAGTAGTAGTAGTAGTAGTAGTAGTAGTAGTAGTAGTAGTAGTAGTAGTAGTAGTAGTAGTAGTAGTAGTAGTAGTAGTAGTAGTAGTAGTAGTAGTAGTAGTAGTAGTAGTAGTAGTAGTAGTAGTAGTAGTAGTAGTAGTAGTAGTAGTAGTAGTAGTAGTAGTAGTAGTAGTAGTAGTAGTAGTAGTAGTAGTAGTAGTAGTAGTAGTAGTAGTAGTAGTAGTAGTAGTAGTAGTAGTAGTAGTAGTAGTAGTAGTAGTAGTAGTAGTAGTAGTAGTAGTAGTAGTAGTAGTAGTAGTAGCAATACAGGTGTTATCAATCATAGTTCCACTATTAGTGGTAATGATGGTGACAGGGTTGCGTTACTATACATGGAAGGCACCTCAGAAGCATTACGAAGAATTTTCAATAAGGCTGGCTGAGATTAAAGTGGCATTCAAACCAACAAACTCGCTTAGAAATAAACTTTGTAGGTTAATAGATACTGTCGATGCAATTAGGCAAAATAATCTGGTTTACCAAATTCCTTGCAATGATTACGAGGTCAAATACATGGGTCAAAGTAGTCGACCAGGGTCAGTTAAAATAACAGAGTCCAAAATCTTAACGAAATCAAGATTAGTAGATTCTAATAAGATAAGAAATCTAGAGAAAAGCTCGTCTATAGCTCTGAACGCAATTACACACAATCACACAGTAGAGTGAGATAGAGAAACAGCGTTAAAAACTAACTTAGTTGGGTGGGGGGAGAGATTGATAACCGGGTCTTTGTTTATCGAATCAACATCAAATACACGCAATCGACATGATTCTGCACATGTCCCAGACATGGAAAATTCTACCACTCTTGTCATCACAAAGGAGGGGAGAAAACTAAGACTACATAAACACTGTTTCTAAGTTGTGAAGTTACCTGATATGAATGTGGACAATAAAAAGTGTCGAAAACACTATCCAGTAAATGATACTGTCCCTTTACTATGTGACATTTCTAATAAACAGACTAAAATAGGCAGAATTTAGTTTACCAAATCCTTTCTAATAATTGCGAGGTCAAATAAATAGGTCAAGTAGTCGACTATGGTCCAAGCAGAGAAACCTAGCTAGGTCAAAGTTAGTAGATCCTAGTAAGATAAGCCATAGCTATGCATGCACTTACATGGAACCACACAATAGGATGGGGTAGGGTGAAAATCCTTAAAACTGACATAGAGGGGTGGAGGAAGAGATTGATAACTGAATCTTTGAATTTGGGGGTTTTGTGGGGATTTGGAGATACTTCAAGTTGCTATTAATCGTAGACTGACATCAGCTGAAGGAACCATAGAAACCTGGGAGCACTCAGTAGGTGTCTCGTCGTAGTATGAGACTTTCCATCAGTGTGTACCCATGACCCCGCACTGCCAAGGGTCGAACCCAGGACCTTCAGGTTCCGTGGTCAGCACGTTATCACTGAGCCACTGGGTTGTAATCCAATGGTCCATACTTCTAACTTCTGTCAGTTCATGACATAGCGCGAGCTTCACCCAGTGTTTCACCTACCCAGGAAGTGAGCTGCATTTCAGAGGGAAGTTTTCTCTTGTTATTTATTCTGTCCTTTTGTGTTTGGTGTACTTTCCTTAGTTGTTAGCGATGGTTACTGTCCAATGACCTATCAACGTGACTCTGCGCCAGCTGCTGTTCTTGCAAAGACTTAGGTCGCCCTTCTTTGAGAGTTTGACAAGGTAGCCATTCTTCCAATCAGTAGGCATGTACCTTTCCTTCCTTCCTTCTAAACCTTATGCAGTAGCGGTTTGAGCATATCTGCTGTTATCTCTGCGTCTGTTCTCAGTGCTTCTGGCGGAATTCCATCTGGTCCCGCTGCTTCCCCGGATTTTACCAACTTTATGGCATTCAGGACATCACTTTCGCTTTCGTCGGAGGGCTTGTGTTCACTGGTAATTCTGTGGTTGCTGGTGTTATTTCTGGACTAGTTGCAGGTGGTAGTGGTGTTCGATTCAAGAGTTTTTCGCTGATTGATAATACAAGTAACAATTTGTTATATTCAGTATAAATCCAACAGTAATTTCCATCAAACCGTCCTCATTTTATTGGTTAAAAAAATGGTATTATGAGAAGTTCTTTGCATAAATAGGAAACAAGACAAAATGTCTTCCATATTTATTTCATTGCTACCTTAAATATTAAACGCAAAAAAACTTTCCACAAAATGTAGGATTGTGAAACAACTGGGTGAAGTGACAGCATTCATCAAAACTGTCTTCCTATTTCCTTGTTCTTCTAACCGATCTATTTGATCGATAAAGCTGTTCAGTAAAGGCAGTTTTCATCACTGGTGTTCATCGTTTAAGGAATCACTGGAAATTAAGAAGCTATAGATAGCTATTTCGTCATTTGGATGACCCCGCATGGGAATCTTACAGCAAAAACCTTACTGTTTCTAATCTACTTCTTCGAATTTCCCAACATCTGTCCGTTTCTGTTATAGAGTGGGAAATGTAACCCTACATCATCGACAAGTAACTGTCCTCATACCTTACTTGATTAATCTCACAGCAATTCATAAGAATGTCCGGATATCCGTCTTGAAGGAGATCGCTAGTGAGTACTGCATTGTTAACTTTAGTTGATTCCATTCAAATATGAAATCTAATTAGCGTATTTTTCTACGCTTAGAAGATTAATATCATCAGGTTTGAAATTGTATGTAAACCTGTATGTACTCCAATTCAATCCTAATGTATACGGCTTAATTTAAACTGGGAAATGCGGATATTTTAAACAAAAAAGAAAGATTATGAGATGATCAATCTTCAATCAGCTAACATTTGACAGGTATTGAAAAGCTTCATGTTTTAGCGTCACTGAAGTCTTAGCACGTGTGTTTTGAAGAGATTTGCTGACTCGTGAACGTGGTACTGTGTTTGGATGAATGTTCATAAGCTGAATGTCAAAATGGAGAATAACGATTACTTATGGATATAAGAGGGTGACTTACACTCACTGCTCCCGGAAGACAATGGCAAACTAATTCTAATAATAGTATACGGATAAAACACACGCTTTCTTGAGCGAATTTCTAACCGTTTATTCCATTGTTCTTTGTACAAATACCAACAAGTTTGTTTATGATAACCTTAGAAATAGGAAAGTGTGGACCATAGGATTCCAACTCACTGGTAACGTGTTCTCAGCAGGACATGAATATCCTAGGCGCGTGCTACTGAGGAGTCCCGCGCTAGAACGAAACAAATGCCCAATATACCCGAAGCTTCATGTGTGGTTCTCCAACTGATGTCGGCATGTAATTAAGAGCGAAAATTCACCTTTTCTAAATTTATTACTGTAGCGTCAAACTGGCTGCCTAGTCAGATCATCTCATTGCAGTCCAAAAGGATCCGTACTAGTCAGGATTATAGATGAGAACGTTTGAGGTTATCAAGGTTTAACTGACTGAGGGTAAAATGAAAACATGGACAGCGGCAGAATTTGAACTAATTACCTCTGGATAACAGAGTTGTTACTGTGCTTTCACTCAGTGTCAACAAAACCAGTCTGCCAAATCACAACTATCTCAGAGGGTCTAATTGACAAAATCAATATTCCAATGATTTGATTAATTTGAAATTAGTGCATTCAATAAATCTGGTCTTTTTAAGTGTGTCTTCTATGGATCTCAACAGGATTTGAGTGGGCAGTAGACACCAGTTATGTGACTGAACTGCCTTTATAGCTGAATTGTTGCAGGTCCCAAAGCTGTCATCCTTTTGACACCTACAGTCCATCTTTTTTGTTGTCCATCTGCGGCGTGTCAATGCCAGCGTGTCTGCGACAACCTACACTGTTTGTAAACAGACAAGCCTGAAAGGTGACTGTATCTACTTACCATTAATAAGTAGGTAGTAATAATAATTCATTTCATGAAATCATTTCGTCACTTCTGATGAAATCTATTGTCAGCATTTAACAATCACGCCACACACATGGACCTTAGGTCAACCTGGGTGAAGGTCATTGTTTTAGTAAGCTTGGTGCATTGATCAACCTTTCCTTTCGTGTTTATATCAGAAGATATTCTTATTTGCGTTTTGTCTGGGTATGTATATGTATATGTGTATATTTTGTTTATCTATCTGTCTGCTTTGTGAAGCTGACAAGGATGACTGTTTTCGTAAACATGCACTGGAGACAGATGGTAAACTAGAACAGAGAAACCATTCAATGTCCATAAACTAGATACATTTTCAACTGAAGCGTTATGTAAAGCTAATCATAATCGTAGTTACTGTGACTCTCGGTATGTTGGCTAACTGCTTGGCAAGATTATTTAGTGTTATTGTGACGAATATTTATAGCTCAGAGTGTAGATGCTCACAGTGACTTGTTCACTGGTTTGACGGATAAGACCCTAGCTCATAGAACAACTCACCTTGAACATCGCTTGTTTTATCATTTGAAAGCATACAGTACATTCTGATGATCTAGTTGCGGACGAGTTAGTCGAAGAGATTCATATACCACAATAATGATAATAAATAAAAATCGATACCCAGTCACACTGAATGATTGACCTATTCGAGATAAACAGTAATATACCTTGAGGTTTGTGAGGATCTTATTTTTAAAGTAATGTTCATCATCGTCTGATATCAATTAAAGAAATATTGAAAACCTAGGACCTTGGGCAGCCATTTCGTCTTAGTATAGAACTCCTCAGCAGCATGAACCTACAAGCATCCAAACCAGGACCTTCAGGCCCGGTTCTAATGAGAAGTGGTGACCTGTGGGGTAAACCAATTCGAAGTGAAGCTGATGCCATCTGAAGGCTTTGGTAGATATTCATGCTATATCTCGAATTGATCTTTATTATTATTATTTGTCCCTAGGGTTCCTAGTGGAACATAAGGCTTCAGAGGCACGTCTCCAATTCACTCGCTTCTATTCAGTCGTTTCAACCTCGCTCCACCACTCACCGCAAGCTTTCATTTCTTCCTCACACACGATCTCCTCCACTTCACCCTCGGATGCTCAACTCGTCGTTTCCAATTTGGATTCCGATAGAGGGCCTGTCTTGGGGCGTGATGTCCTCAATCGGTCTTTTCAGTGTGTTTCCAATCCAATCCAATCCAATCCATCCCCACTTTCTACTTCTGCATATTTGTTGAGCGATGAGTTGTTGGTTGGTTAGTTGCCAGAGTTCCTTGCTGCTTATTCTTTCTGGTCATCTGATCTCATCTTCAGTATCGAGTGAGCTAGCGTAGGTGGCAGGTTTTGTTGATGTATGTCTATAGTTTGTTGGAAACGCTTTTCGTGACGTACCAAA